TAATATTTAATTAATTAAAAAACGCTTCAAGCCCGGGACATTATGAGGGTCGAATTTGTATTCTGAAACGATGCTCCATGTAAATCGTATGCGGCTGACGTCTATGCAGAGGCAAAGATTCACACAGCCAGTCGCGCGGATCAGCAACGTTTTCTTGAATTTCGGACAAGACATTCTCCTTCATATTTATGACTTCTGACGACACAGTGTTGAAGAGCAGCCGAGCTGTTTCCGTATTCGGCCTGATGACCCTGGGATCATCCCTTTGCCTCTTACCTCGTCCTTGCTAGCGTATTCCTCTTCTTTTCAGTGAGCTCTGTTTCAGGTCATAAAATTGCCTGGGTGTTCTTTCTTTGACAAAATTATCCGTTTCTCTAAAGCATACTTTCCACGAACCCAGACAAGAGGCATCGGCGCCGATTATCCTATTGCAGCTTGTCCTGACAATTCGCTAGTTAAATGCAAAAAGTGAGTTCAGACTTGAACACAATTTTTAAGACCGAGAGGGAACGCGATCCTAAACATATATTCGATCAGGTTGCGTACGTAAAGTGGGCATACCACTTTTCTAGTAAATTCACACCTTTCAGTTTGTCAGGCTGAAGAATGGTTTCTTCTGGAAAGAATTTGGAATCGTTACCACTTTCTAATGCTTTGTGAATGCCATGTTTATCAAAACTGCCATTGGCAGCTGCTAATAAGAATTTAAGCGATGTCTTTCATTATTCCATAGAGGCAATTTGAAGTAAATTACAGGAAGTTATAGGTGTGCTTGGTTTGTGATAGACCTGTATTACAGCAGGTCTCCTTCCGCGTAATCAAGGCATCCGAAAAAGTAAAATGACCTGTTGTTCAGTCGTCCGGAAAGAGACTGTTCAGATGGTCGAAATAACAGAATCCCGTTGGACTATGAAAATGGCACAGATATAATCTACATAAAGTTTAAATAGCACTGGTTGGATTTTGTGAGTTGATGTTTGTAAGGCAACTTTCTAAAAATGTTCCATAAAAATTTCGGCAACAGTTTGCGATAAAGGCCAGTTCAGAGATATCCGCTGCTTTCATGGAACAGTGTATCGCTATACATACGGCTGTGGTCCACTAGGTAGATCTTATATCTTATGGAGAATATCCTGGGCAGACTCTCCCAAAAGAGTCGTCATTTGTTTAAGCTCTTAATGGTTCACTACCTTGTCTCTTACCACGTCATCGACGACTACAGGAGGTATGCTGAAAAACAGACCTGAAATGTGATAACTTATTTGAGCAATATTTTCACATTTTCACATTTTTGAAAATCACGTAGTGGTCGAGTTTCATAGATAGTAGTCAAC